CTGTTACTGACAAAGCATTTGATCAAGCTGCCAGTTACTCTCGCATGAGGTTTATGAATTCACGTCCACAACACGTTAGCTAGCAGGCCCTGAGGCCGCCGCGCGTTCGGGAAACCTATTAGTCTTATCACTTCTCCTCTATTGGGAACTAGGTGTGATTATTGTATTGCTCTGGGCACACCTACAGTTTATCACTTATAAAGTAATCATCGGCACTTTATTGGGAATAAAATAGTTTCGAAACTTCTTATTATTACGTTAGAAATATCTCCCTATTGGCAAGAATTTATGGATGCGTTAACTAAACCTCATACGCCACTACGTCAGCATATGCCACAGTCAAAATATTAAAGTTGTCACTTATACTTACTACATCACTGAGAGTTATGCGATTAAATCCATCGAAAGCATGCTCAACATATTGTCAATTGACTTGCATATCAGATGAATATGATAACTGAGCATTAGCAGTTTAATTACAAAAACGTAAAGTTAAGATGATATAGATAGAATGAAATAACTAAAAATGAAATGGATAACTGTGTAGGCCTATAGTGTTTTTTCGTATTAATCTACTCAAGCGTTTGAAGGTGATTCATAATGTGCGCAATTAAATAGTCTAATATCAAATATTTCATGCTGGCGACCTTGAAGCTTATTTGAAAATACTATATAATAACCAGTTTGTGTCACATCAGAGAAGAATGCTTAAGATGAACATCAGAAAAGCCATTAAGTCACTGTTAACATACGAGACTCAAAAAGTAGTAGAAATAAGAAACTGGAAAATCGGTCTTATGCAACTCGTTTTGCAGGCCGTTATTGTAATATATGTGGTTTGGTTTGTTGATATTTCCTATCAACTCTAATTGTCAGCTGGGTATTAATATATGAAAAAGGATACCACGCAAGCGATACTGCCATGAGCTCTGTCAGCACAAAAGTTAAGGGAATAATGATTCGTCAATATCCTTCCGAGGACGATGATTCCCATCAGGTTGCTGACGGCGCTGACTTAGTGTATCCAGCACTTGAAAATAATGCATTTTTCATAATAACAAATCAAATTAAAACTTTTGGACAGAAAGCAATGACATGTCCAGGGGTAATCTCAGAGACGGTCATTCTATTTAAAGGTTGAAGGAGTTGATTCGGCATGCAATACGGACAATGACTGCGTCCCTCTTAAAGCATCGCCATCAGAAGTCGGTAAGACTTTTACATGCGTTGTTTTTTTCTGAATAAAATAATTTCTGAATAAATGATTTCAACCGTTGGGTTTTGAAAAATAAATCGTTATTGAATCTTGCTATTTTAGGCGTGCACACGGGAAATTGCCTCAAACAACCTTCAGGATCTGGCGTCTGCGAACTATATGCCTGGTGTCCGTTAGAAAACGATACACATGTTCTTAAAGATGGTCAGCGAACTCTAGAGTTCATCCGAAATTACACCGTTTACATTAAGAATGACATCGAATTCCCAAAGTTTAAAGTCAGAAGGTAAAACTTTGGAGAAATCCTAAAATATTCTTGTGCTGAATTTTTTCCGTATATAACTGACATGTAGAACATCCCGTAGGCCGAGTGCCCACCGTAAAATTAAAAAATCATGTTCTAGCCGCCGAAAGAAAGAAGTGTGTAAACACTATATATATTATATATATTAATCAGTATGCGAATAAAAGACAATATCGTCAGCCCTCATTAAGTCGC